ATGTCCATTGTCCATTTAGCCCATTCCCCCCAAAATCTAGATTTTTATAGGACTAAAAAACTAGAGTGTATTTAAATCTATAAGTTCTTCAGGATTCATTTCTGTTCATAGACAAGTGGATTAAAGTCATAGTTACCCAGCAGTCTAAAAAGAGGTAGAGAAAAGTAGAAAGAATACTATGACCCACTGGAAGGCTGCTGAAATAAGGGACTTATTTTTTATTCTAGTGAATTTTAATCAATAACTACAAAAGACTGTTTAAAAACTAACAATGAATGGTGGTAACAGCTATCATTTACTCACTCCTAGAGACGGGGTGGGTACTCTGTCATGAACTTCATAATATTTGATTAATTTAAGTCTTATAACTACGTATTATTTTTCTCATTTAAAATATAAAGAAACTGAGATTCAGAGAAATTAGATATCATCCCCAATGTCCTAATGCTATAAATGACCGAGCTCAAATTTAAACTATTTTTTAAGGTAAGCTTATTGATTGAACTTAGTATACATAGAGAGCAGTGTGCAAATATAAATGTATGGCTCAATGAATTCTCACAAATTTAACATACTTGTTTATGCATAATATTACTTACACTGAAAAGGCTCCTTTTTTAAAACTTTTATCATGACCCAAACCCTTTGGTGTTATATGGTGGCCAAGGCTTCCTCTATCCTTACCTATGTATGTAAAAGGAAAATTGCACTGGACCAGTTAAAGAGGCAAGGGAGATTTTATTCAAGACAATTACAGTAGGGGAGAGAAATTGAACCCTAATCCATTAAAACAAAGGGCAAAAGGGCTGAAGAGTTTTTAAGCACTGAGTTGAGCTAGAGCTCAACTAGAGGCTCTGGAGGCCTAACCTCTAGGAGCCCACTAGAGGCTACTGGAAGGAGGTTGGCCAATATGATTAGCCCATCTGTTTGCTAACTGGCTCTTAGTGAAGTTAGTTTCCTGCCCTAGAAACCAAGAGAAAGATATTGTCTTCTTCTTCTTTTTTTTTATTACATTTCAAAAGGATGGCTCTCACATCTTTTTAAAAGGCATTCTTGCGTTGTAAAACAATTATATCTCAAAGGCCTAGAGAAAGAGTTTAGAATTAAAAGTTTGCTAAAGTAAATGTTCTATAATCAGGAAGAAACCCATTTAAAATTTACTCAAGCTGAGAGGAACATTAAGGTTGTCTTGGTCACCGACTATTAATAATATTGTCACATATCCATTTCCATTCTGAAGATGACCAAATTTAGGGGATAGTTTTGCACAATACCAGAGAGGAGACACTGTATCTACTTGGATAAATAGAAATGAAGTCACTCTTGTTCTTAAGAGAGTTGAAATCGAGACCACAGGGTTATGAGTAATAGGAGATTTGCAGGGCATGGTCTTTGCAGTGAGGTTAAGGGAACATTATTTGCCCAATTCTGTTTAGAGAACAAACTGTACAAATTATCATGACAGAGCATAGATACTTGGGAGGTAATAACACCCAACAGGAAAAAGAATTCTTTAAAGTTGTTAAGGCTAGTGTAACAAGGTATAACAACCTGAAATGAGACCATTAGGTTAGACATTAGGAAAGTATTTTCAAATGTAGGGCTGATTAAATTTAGGAATAATTTGCTGAGGAAAAGGCCACTGAGGTCTCATCACGAGTAATACTCAAGAATAGATTAGATAAAATACAGATTGCTATTTATGGCCACAGTGACAAGGTCAAACCCACAGTAATACAGAAGAACAAACTCTGTGACCCTGGACATGTTTTTCCCCTCTATGATAAGATCTACTTGATTTTACAAAACAACAAAAATAAAAGCATCATAATTTGTAATATTAAGTCACAACTGAGGATTTCCACAACAAAAAATGCATTTCTCTTTACTCTGTTTTCCTTTAAGCCAGCTTTTAGAGGGTAGATGTTTGCATCAGTAAAGAGAATGAAAATGGTGCCCATTTTACATTATAAGGAATTAATTTGCAGCCAATGTGCTTATATTAACAAATTGTTACTTGGTTAGAAAATAGCCTGAGCAGTACTTTGTCTCCATAATGGCCTTATTTAACTCAGTTTAACTGTTTTTGCTTAATTTTCATGCTAATTTTAAGCTATTCCCATTCTTTGAAGTTTAACAGTATTTTAAATCTAACAGTGTATTGATGTTTGCATTTAATTTTTATTTGATTTAGTTTATTTTATTCAAAATGGTTTGATTGGCACTTGATTGTTTTGCAAATGATACAGAGTACTGGATGAAATTCCTATGAAGGAGATTGATTTCCTATTTTAAATGAATGTTAGGACAGGCCCTCCTTACTACCACATAAATTCTGTAGAGTAATTCTGAATATCTCAGAGTACCACCTTTCTTGTCCAAAGAGGGGAGATGCTGTAGATAAGGATTCACTGCAGGTTTTTCTCGGGTGTGTTAATTTGCCTTGCTACCTTATCTCCTCTTGTTCTTTCCTGATATAATGCATGTAGCCATTTAACAAATATCAAAGAGCACTTCTGTATGCCAGGAACTGTTCTAGATTATGAATGCCTACCATGCATAAGGTGCTTAGTTACATCTCAAAACCAGAAGAAGCAGTGATCATTGTAGTTTTCCCCCTTATATGAAAACTGAGGACTAGAAAGAGAGTTTTCCAAATCAGAGATAAATTGTAATAATAACTGATGCTTTATTTATTTATTTATTTATTCTTTTAAAGTTTATTTATTTTGAGAGAGAGCATGCATGAGCAGGGGAGGGGCAGAGAGAGAGAGGGGGAGTGAGAGAATCCCAAGAAGACTCCATGCTGTCAGTGCGGAGCCTGATACAGGCTTCCATTCCATGAACTGTGAGATCATGACCCAAGCCGAAATCTATCAAGAGTCAGACTCCTAACTGACTGAGCCTTCCAGATGCCCCATAACTGGTGATTTAGTACTGATGAGGTTTTGGAGTGATGGTGGGGTTCAGAGCTGCTGCCCAAGAAATAATTCTTGAAGGTGTTTTTGGTGTAAGAAGGTGATTTTATTAAAGCATGGGGACAGGATCCATGGCAGGAATAGCTGCACTGGGGTTGTGAAGAGTGACTGGTTATATTCTATGGAGCTGGGGAAAGGAAAATCAAGGGGAAGTTTCAGATGATTTTTTCATGTACTAAAGAAGACATACAGGGTCCTGGAGGTCTAGCTATTGTCAAGCTAAGGTTGTTTTTCCTTCTAGCAAAGCCTTAACCTTAAGACGGTAGAGAGTTCCTGGAGTAATGTTTTACTCTGCCAGGCTCAAGTGTTTGTCAATGGGCTACAGATTATAAGGAAATTGAATTTTACCTGCCATTTCCTTCTTGTCTTTGTCCCACATCACTATGGATGGGTGATGTTGAGGCTCCAGGAAATAGAGTCTATAAGTTTCTGGCGATTAGTCTATTGATGAGATCACCTTTTTCTTATAATTTACTAAGATATTTATAAACTGATGGAGACTCATGTCCTGTATGACTGTGATCTCTATCAGTTAACCATTTGTCTTCTTTTCTTTCCATTTTTGAGCAGCCAGGAGTGCCTGAGGAGTATCACACATATCCCCCCTGGGGCGAGGTGGTGGTATGTGTGTGCTAGCTTGTGCTTTGCCCTCAATCTGCCTTGTCATAAAAACCATTTGTAATTACAGTTAGATAGCTTCAATGCTATATTTTTATTTCTGATTTGAATTGTATTTAGAGGGTCATAAGTCAGAAATGACATATTGAGTGTTAATTAGATCAAAACAGTATATATTTTATGTCCGAAGAGTACAAATCAGCCTTCTTGAAAAACAAAAGCAATGAAATGACTCAGGGTAACATTTGCTTAGATATCCCTAAGTTACTTAAAGGAAAGTTTTTTTAGTATTTGTATTAAAATATCAAGTAACTGTGAAATGTAAGTATCTATTTGATACTAGGCTATCTATTGAAATAACAAACGGTAGAAGTTTATTTGGCTATTTCTATATGATGTCAAAATGGTCAGTTTAGTAAATAAAATTTCATCAAATTAGTTGTTGGTGAGTGTGTTGTAAAGAATTTAACTTAGCCAAACAGGGGCTTGGTCTATGCCCTAGGCCTCTGGGAAATAATGTCTAAACTCTAGGAATGTCACAACTCCTAAGAGTATCTTAATTCGCTTGGGGACCTTGGGCCAGCCAGCTAGTAACAAGATCATGTAGGGTGGGGGCTCTGAGCCAGCCTTACAGTGTGATGTAGGGTGGGTTGGTCATGTTGTATCAATTGACCACTAGAGCGGCTGAAGACTGAAATCAGCCATGTGGGCCATTCGTCATGCCTATGTGATACAGCTCCAGTAAAACATAAGGACACTGAGGCTTGGTGAGCTACCCTGGGTGGCAATACTCAATTTGTATGGAGTTTAGGGAATCAATGCTTTTCAGGACTTCACAGGAAAAGGACATTGCAAACTCCATACTTAGTACTTCCCCAGACCTTGCTTTATGCCTTTCTTCCTTTGCCTGATACAAATCTCTGTCCTTTCTCTGTAATAAATCATAACCATGACTATAACAAAGGTCAGTGAATTCTTTGACTCTTTTTGGTGAATTATTGAAACCAAGTGTGATCTTGAGAATTCCCAAACTTTCTGTTGGCATCAGAAGTGAAAATAGTCTTATACAGACTATGCTCCCTTTAACTTTATAGTTCTCTAACCTTCCCAGATAGAAAGTATTGATCATCCACATATGGTAGGCCATTAGTCACACATGACTATTGAGGACTTTAAATATCGAAAGTGCCACTAGACAAGTGAATTTCTAATTTTATTTATTTTTAATCAACTTGAATTTAAAAATGAAAGCAGTGTAAAGTTTTTTACATTAATTATAGGCTGAAATAATATATTTTGTATCCAATGGGTTAAATAAAATATATTATGAAAATTAGGTTCATTTGTTTCTGTAGTAGAGTGAATAAAGACCCCCAAAGATGTCCATATCCAAATCCCAGGTACCTGTGAATATTCCCTTATATGGCAAAAGGGACTTTTGATAAGGATCTTCAGATAAGGAGATCATCCTCGTTTCTCCTAGTGGGGCTGATGTAATTGAAAGCATCCTGTAAGAAAGCAATGCAGTGAGTAGCAAGAGTTGTGACTGTAGAAGTTGGACAGAGGGGCACCTGGGTGGCTCAGTCAGTTAAGTGTTCAACTTCAACTCAGGTCAAGATCTCATGGTTTGTGGGTTCGAGCCCCATGTCGGGCTCTGCACTGACAGCTAGCTCAGAGCCTGGAGCCTGCTTCAGATTCTGTGTCTCCCTCTCTCTCTGACCCTCCCTGCTCATGCTGTCTCTATCTCTCTCTCAAAAAAAAAAAAAAAAAAAAAGAAGTTGGACAGATACCAGGAAGGGGCCAAGAGCCAAGGAATGTAAGGGGCATGTAGAGGCTGAAAAAGCAAGGAAAGAGATTATCCTCTCAGAGCTTCCAGAAGGATTTGGCCCTGTAAACATCTGGATTTTAGCCCTATAAGACTCCTTTTAGATTTCTGACCTCCAGACCTATAGGAGAATATACTTCTGTTATTTTAAGCCACTAGGTTGTGCTAATGTTTTATAGCAGCAATAGGAAACTAATACAGCTTGTGCTTACTTTTTAAAGTTTAATTACTGTAAGTGTTAAATTATTTACAATTTGCATATTTCTATTAGACAACTCTGGCCTAGATATTTATTTTTATTGTATTCTAATAGTATTTTTATTTTTTAAGATTAATTAAATATTTCAGTATAAATCTTTCATTTATTTTTTCCATAGGAAATTTTTCTTATTGAGGATTAATCATTGAATGATTTTCAAATGCTCAGAATTTTTCTTGTTGATGTTAGGGATAAAGAAGTATTGGACATACTGAAGTTCTTGATATGATGACATAATGATGGATACATTTTCAATGGTGGATGGAGCTTTTGAGTAAAAAGTATAGAGAGAACACTCAACAGAAGTAAAAAGGAGACAGAAAGTTAAAACAGCATAGACAAAATTGCAGAGCTTAGCTTGATGAGATTGAAAATAGGAAGCTATTGAAGGTTTTTGAGGGAGACAATGATGTAACTAAATGAAGTTTTAGGGAGATTTTCACAAAAATATTTTGCGTATTGGTTTAAAGGAAGGTGAGGTGAAGAGAATAACCAATGAACAAGGATACGCTAGCTATATTCTAGGTAGGAGATAATGAAGGTTGGCTGAGGAGAGTGGTTAAAGGGAGGCCAGATTATCTTGCCTAGATGACCCCAAACCAGTAATATTTTGTACATGTTTTACTTATTTACTTTGAGAGAGAGAGAGAGGGAGGGGCTGAGAAAGGGAGAGAGAATCCCAAGCAGGTTCCACCCTGCTAGCGCAGAGCCCAACAGGGTGCCTGAACTCACAAACCATGAGATCATGACCTGAGCTGAAATCACAAGTTGAACACCTAATCACTGAGCCACTTAGGTGCCCCCTAATATTTTTTAACACTGTTTTTTATTTAATGGAGACCTTTAATATAGCATTCTAAAAGTTATTCAAATAACCCAGCCAGCTTCAGCTCCATTATTAATATTACAATTGTAGCCATACTTGAAATATTTCCTTTATTTCTAGGAGTTGATAAAGTATACTATAAAGGACACCAGCTATGGGATCAACATGGTTTGAATTCTAACTAGGCCACTTACCTGCAAGTTACATAACTTCTGGTAGCCTCAATTTCCCCATCTTAAGATGGAGTCATTAATCATTTCACAATGTATCCTAAAAGTTAAAGGGAAAATAATATGCTTAATTTTTTTAATGTTTATTTATTTTTGAGAGAGAGACAGAGTGTGAGTGGGGGTGGGTGCAGGGAAGACAGGGAGACACAGAATCCGAAGCAAGCTCCAGGCTCTGAGCTGTCAGCATAGAGCTCCACACAGGGCTCTGTCACACAGACTATGAGATCATGACCTGAGCCAAAGTTGGCCCCGTAACTGACTAAGCCACCAGGCACCCAGTATACTTAAATAGTCAGTGTAGCACAGTAAGGTTGAGGAGAATGCAATAGTATTCTAATATTCTATTCATTTGAATTCCATGAATTCAACCATGTTGAATCTATAAAAACACAGAGAATTTTACCTGATTCAAATTAAATTGATCTCCACTATACCTCAGGAGACAGAAACTAAGATGCAAAGGGAAACAAATAACTTTTGTCTTTCACTTTATAAAGGTTTAAGTCTTAAAAGGCAGCACAATAGACGTTCACTGGTAATTTTGACTCTGCAGGTTTTTTGTCTTACTTGCTGACTTTAGAACCCGCTCCCTGTTTAAATGTAACTTCATTGCAAATGTGTTCCAGAAGTTCAAATATTTCATAGAGTGCCCACTCAAGGAAAGAGATTAAATCCTATTATAGTTAATATCAATATAGTCTCTGGATATACCTACCTTTGACAATCACCACCCTGAATTGCAACAGTCCCCTGCCCCAATGTTGGCAATAAGAGATATGACCTCAATTTTGATTCTTGCATCCATCTAATTAGAGAGAACCCACCTTGCAGACAGATGAGTGTGATAATGCTTTTCTCTGTTCTGTGCTAACATATTTGTAACATCCTTGTAGTTCTTTTGTTGCAAGACTGTGACCTCTAGACAACTTATTATATTGAATTGAACTAGGAAGATTTTCCCCCCCAAAGATGAATAAATACCTAATATTTGCAAGCCAATTCTTTATGATTAGGGATAAAATTGGCCCTGTCTGGCTAGATACACCACTGTATTATCTGATGTAGTCATTTTATTTCTCTTCATACTTTTATTGTGTTCTATACACAGATAATATATGTATCTGTTTTTTGCTTTGTTAGAGACTGTAAATGAAACTTCACAAAACCATCTTGAAAATCATGTAGTGAAACAAGAGTTGGAAACATTTTTTTCCTCCTTATCATCATTGTTGCTTTCAGTTGAATAAATGTACATTTCTTGCTGACTGCAAAAAAAGCCATTAAAAAGCTGTTGCCAGCTAAAAGGTTTCAAGACATAGGGAATTATATCACTTGCTTTATTTTCCCCCCTTAGCAGAGACAGACGTAGTTATAACAGCCAAATCAAAGAACATTTGTTTGAATGATCTGTAATCAGCACTGCTGTTGTCCGTGGAAGTTGTGAACAGTTCTATACCCTCAAGAACTTGTACTTGGAAAGCAGTGTTGCTTTCAATTTAAACACAATGTTTTAATGCTAATAATAAAATAAAATAATGAATAAATATAGTATTATTCAGTCTGTCAATGGTGAATGCAATATGATGATTGAATATGCAGTCTGAACAACAACTATCAAATACAAATGGTAGAAGAGAAACAAACATAACAGCTATTAAGTTCCGTGGTGAACTGGAATTAGTCACATCATCACGTGAATTTTTCCCCCTGAACTGCACAATTTCCTGATAGCAAATTCAGATTCATGTCTCTTTATCATCTCATTTGTAATACATTGCTTAATTTCCAATTTTAAAATAACGAAAGAATTTTACAACCTGTGTATTTCTAATTATGATTCACTTACTCAACTTAAGAAAAAATTTAACTTGGGTTGTCAAGCAACTGATCTATTTTTACTCTGCTCCAGATACTGTACTGTAAGTTATTCAGAAAGAACAATAGTATTTGCGTGGCACTTTAGAGTTTACAAGATGCTTTCGCCTAAATTCTCATTGTACCTTCACAAAATAATCTTGTGAAGTCGTCAGTGAGGCAGTGAAAGCCATTGCTTTTCAGGAGGATAATATGTAATTGATTTATCATTATATACTCTCTTTCTCTGCCAACTTGACTTCTTTGAGTCATTCTTTTTCCTAAAAGGTAAAGACTTTCCTGGAAATGAACATTCATCCATCGGGACAGTTTCCCCTTAGGTTACTTCTCAGTGTGCGGTAACATTGGTATATACATTTCTCCTAAAATACAATATAAGGAAAAAAAACTTGTAAGCCAGATCTCTGAAAAATTGAATAGCACAAGCACAAGAGATACCTCAATTGTTTGGATTTGACAGGAAGTAGAATATGTTTCTCTGCAAGAAATATTCTAAATTAACACCTTCCAGTTATCAGAGATTATGGTGCCATCGAATTTAGGAATGTTAAGGGGAGAAGAACTCAGTAGTCTCAAAATACATTTATTCTGTTATTTGGATGTGTTTTTTAAATTAAAGTGAAATTTGTACTAAGAAAATTAACAACTGTTTAGAGTAAGAGCTACAGTGCTATGGCTGGAAGCCTTATTTTTTATCGTGAACTCAGAATGCTGACCACAATACTTCCCACTCTAGGAAAATAAAATCAAAAGAAGGTTAACTGGTTGGGTTTCATAGAGATTAGTGTGGGTGGAAATGAATGGTTTGGAATTCAGTTTAGTTTAGGTAAGCAAAGTGGCTTATCTTAAATCTCAGGAGTTGGCTAAATTTGGTTTTCTTTACCTCCAATTCCATTTGGAATCAGGAATGTAGAAATAAACATTTGTATAATCACACACAAACATATATTTAAGTTAATTACAAAAGGGAGGCCATATTTTATGAATCTTAAAAGTGAGAATTGAAAGTTTCCATTTATTCTAGCTTTATTCAAAACTGCTTCCATAGAGTAAGGAAGAAAAAAAATAACAAAAAGAGTTTACAATTCATCACATTTATCAAAACATAAATAGTATAATTTTGTTTTTCAAAAACAACACATTATTTTGTGAATATTTCAGGGAATATTAAAGAAGTGTAAGCAAGTTAAGTATATAAAAGTATAAAGAAGAAAGTAAATCACCAGTAATCCCACCATTTAGGTAATAACTTCTGGTAACACTTTATTATAGTTTTTCCAACACTTCCATGGCTTCTACATGTTGTAGTCGTCTCCCTGAAGCACAAGCTTTAATATTCACAAAGCAGTAGAGGACAATAAGAAATAGAAGTGGAAGAAGCAGAAGGGAGGCCAGAAGAAGTAGCAGCATTTAAAGCCTGGACAAATTTATGTTATAAATCAAGCAAGGGTTTAAATGCAATTGAAGGGACGGTACCATCTGCTCTTATTCCAGATGTATGCAGGTGAGGAACAGGAAGCTCTACCTTGTGAATATGAAAAGTCTGAGAGCACGTAAAACTCAAGTTAGAGAAAAGCACAAAGCCTCACACATTTTAAAGAGGGGGATATACTAGTCTATTCCTGAGCGTTTTAAAATTTACCCACCACAGCCTTAGTAAATCATTACCTAATTTTATTTTCCAAAAAAAAATACCTAAGTTTAGAGTTTGTCAACGTATGTAGGTGGAAGCGTGTGTTTCAGAAAGACAGACAATAGTCTCCAACCTTATGATAAACTCATAAGCGAATGTTTAACTAGATGGCTTTATTCTCCAAGTTTTCATTTTTTCTATGGTAGTTGGCTAGTCCTTTCCTAAGTTGTCACTGGTTTCATCACTATCTGGGCACTATACCACCCCCAGAGTGCCTCAGAGAGGAATCTGCCCTCCTTAATGATGCTCCAGCCGCCTTCAACTACTCCTCCTTCAGTCATATTAGCAAGTGAACTAACTCTTCCCACTAAATGGGGTGCATTAATTTCTTGAGTTGTAATAGTCAATTAGCTGTCACCTTCACTTTCTACAAAGTATAGTATTTTGTGCGTGCTAGAGAAGAATAATAGCACAGTGTGGTCATGTGGCTTTTCCCATCTTTGATGTCACAACTGGACAGATCATTAACTGATGTGGAGGATGAGGTCAAATATTGATCCTTTAGGATTACAGAGGATGAATGGACTACCACAAAAGAAAGAGCCTCAGGGACTAGCAGGATGTGGTGGTTAGTTTTGTAATTAGAGATGATTTAAAATGTAGGAAGTTGTAGGACTCTTATCAGTCATTGGTGAAGGTTTTTTTCAGGGCCAACCAAAGAGCCTTTAGGACTTGGTTTATAACTGGAATTGTGGATTCAGATACCCTGAATTATTTACTAGTAATCCCCTGACTCAAATATGTAGCTGAAGTAATAATATTATAAATGCAAACGGTACTAATAGAATGGAAAATCACCATTCTATTGTCAGGTAGACATCTTTTGCCATTGGTGCTTTTCAAACTATTATTTACTGATGTATCTGAGAGGAAAATGGGCCAACTGAAGGATGCTGTCAGTCTTAAATTCTACAGGTTACAATGTACCCTATCCCTTTTACACATTAATAATACCGTTAGCTCCATTTGTGAAGGATGAGTTAGTCACAGAAAATGTCTCTTCTCTCTTAATAAAATGTGGCACTTCTCCTTTTTGAAATTAATCCCTCACCTGAGCCTTCATTCCAACACTGCCTTACGATTATGCTCTTCATTTTGTATCTTTAACGTTTTCTTCTTCACAGGTCCCATTTACTCTATCTGTAAATATGTCAGGTTTCCCACTCCCTAAGAAGCTCTTTCCATAGCTCTCTTGAGGTACTATCTTACGTCTCATCGTGTGTTCACCATGCTTCTAGCCAGAAGGCTTCACAGTTGTCCCTTGGTGCTTGGTCTTCCTTGTGACTGATGAATTCTTGCTGGTTTTGAGGCCTGGCGTGGTGATAGATTTCCTCCTCTGAAGGTCATTGATGACTGTTGAGCACCAGACTTAAGATTGTACTTGGTCCTCGCCCTCTGTGAACTGCTTGTGGTGTTTGGCACTTTCAACTAAATCCTGCGTTTCTTCTCCCTTAGCTTTCACGAACTCACACCT